AACGCAGTGCTCACAGAATTCTATCTTTCCACTCTTGGTTCTCTTCAATAGTCACTGCTTGCACAAAGCCTGCAGTGATTTTTCACCTATGTTCCCCAACCTATAGTACCAAAGTCTGCTCGCGTCCGCCTCTTAAATAACTGAAGCTAACTGGCCAATCTTGGTGCTTCCCTTTAGATAATATAAATTTCTACTGCGGACTCTCTTCATCATCACCAAAAACCCCTTAGTAACATTCGCTATAGTGTTCTCAAATGTCACCTTAATTCCCTTCGCCTCCAAACCTCCAACGAAAATAAGATTCTTCTTCAACTGAGGAACGAATCTCACTTTATTCAATTCATGAACAACTTCATCATACATCCGAATCCTGACGGTACCTATCCTACAAATATCACAGGATTGGTCATTTCCTATGACTATCACACCCCCATCGAGTCTCTCAAATGATGTAAACTAATCTCGCCGAGGAGTCACGTGATAAGTAGTACCAAAATCTAGCATTTAATCAGATGCATCTACATAGTTCACATCTGGGGTAATCAATAGAGAAAAGCACGAATCATCGGAATCATCACCTTTAGCGACGTTCACCTCATTGGTCTTCGGGCCCTTCTTCTTGCTATTCTTCTTTTCTTTGAGCTTTGGGCAATCTCTCTTCTAATGTCCTTGTTCTTTGCAGAAAGCACACTAGTTCTTCGCTAATTGGTGGTGGCCTCTTGACTTTGACATTCCTCTATTATCACCTCTTGGATATGGACTCCTTCCTCTCGTCGATAAGGCCTCTCCTGAAGTGCTAGCTCTGAAAGTCTCTTTGTCCTTCCTCCTCAAATCGTAATTTGTCAAAGTATTAGTCACATCACTGTAGGTGATGGAAGATCTACCGTTCAACAAAGTGAGCACAAAAGTATCATACTCCTCATCAGGTAAGGAGCCTAACAAAATAATCGTCTTATACTCATTCGTTATCTTCTCATCCACGTTTGCCAAGTCCGACAATAGCTTTGTATAGTTATTCACATGAGCAGCAAATGAGGTGCCCCTAGATATCTCGAATCTAAATAATCTCCGCAGCAAGTGTAACCGATTATCAACACTCTTCGTAAGATACTTGTTGTTAAGAATCTCTCACATCTTCATCGCAGACGTCCACCAATCATATCGTATTTCAGCTCTTGTTCCAAATAAGACTTGATAACTCCACAAGCGTTCCTATTCATCTTGTCATATATCGCCTCATCGTATTTCGGTGGCCTCTCATGTACCATGATAGTCTCTTCTAAATTTTGAGCATTGAGAACGTCATGTACGTCGCTCATGCACAAACCAAAATTGATCTTGCTGTCATACTTCATTATACTAATCTTAGTATTTTTGAAGTCCAACCTGAACTGTATTCATCATCGCCTTGCTACTTTCACCAACTTCTCCTCCCATGCTTACAAACTCTAAATTGTAAAAAAAAATTCAAACTTTGATAGAATTGTGAAATTACCCAACTGAACCCTAGATAGGATTCTAACACGATCTCCTAACCACACAAGAAAAACGAGATCTTAAAGGAAACTCTGCAATGCTATCTCCACCGAAGCATAGAACTCCAAGAACCAAGCTTCAAACAACAAATCTTCATTCACCCAATGCAAAACCCTAGATTTGAAACCCTAGAGCTCTGATACCAATTGTTGTGCGCCGTGTGGAAGCGTGCTTGACAACCAAACTAGTCAGTAAGCGATGAGAGAAGAGAACAAAAAACAAACACGAGTGTAATTCATCAAAATATGACACAAATCAAACCAACCATAGAGATTTACGTGGTTCGGTAATTGCCTACGTCCACGGGGAGAGGATGGAGAGATTTTACTATATGGAGGAGAAATACAACTGGTTATAACTTACAAAATTACTCAAATATAATCCTAACCAAAGCTCTCAACTCCCTCACAATATCTCCCTCTCAAAGTACCTAAAAGGCTCAATTATCTCTAGTTCAGAAACCCTAGAAATCGTGTTTGTATTTATACAAACACCCAATCCAAAACCGCTCAGGAAAACGAATCAGGCCCACTTACCACTATCAGTCAATCGCAATCATTGCACCGATCGACCGGCCAGAGACAGGGTTTTCAGACCCTATAGCGTGCACGAGATCGGTCGACCGGTCCTTTGCCTTCGGTCGACCGACCCGAGAATCCATGTATCCTATTTTCCTGATGATTGTGTCGTTCGACCGCCCTTGCACCCTCGGTCGACCGACCCGAGGGTTACTGTAGCTGTTTCTTCAACTCGAATTTCCTGATTTTCGTCGCGTTTTCTAAAATCCACTACCAACTCCCAAGAAATCTCTTGGGTCAGCTTCAATACTACATAGGCGGCTTGAAACTACGGAAAATGCATTTCTATCTGATGTTTTATCGATTCACCTTAAAATCTCAGAAACTAGTGAATCAAGAAGTTCCTCCACATGAATACCAAAATTTAGCCCCAAAACTTGTTCAGTTGAAACAAACGCAGGTTAAAATTATTGGCAGATATTTGATATTTCAAGAGAACCCATTACTGGTATCAGATTGTAACCACTACCAGAGTTGATAAAGAGTTAACCCCCGTGTAAGAATTTGACATTTAGGAAGCAGGATAGGATCAAGTTGGGAATTTGAGAAGCATAAAAAAAATATTTTTGAAACAAACCCAGGTTAAAATAAGAGCGCATATTGGATTTTTCAAGAGAACCCATTACTTTTTTTGGACAGAAATAGCTAACAAAGTTGATAAAAAATTAGATTTGAACGATATGATCAAGTTGTGGATTTTGGAAGTATTAAACAAGTGTTACCTACTGAAGTTTGATGCGGCTGATAGAAAGCAGCGATCCGTGGCAGAAGGGTTAATGTGTAGGATAAGATTTGAACTAATTTAATTTATGTGGGAAATTTTGTGCAAAGATTAGATTTTTAATTAGGTAAGTAGAGATAAACGGAAAAGATACGGGGGAGAGGAGTAATGAAGGCTATGGGTACGATGATGGCTATTCGTATTTTGTTTTTATTTTTATTTATTTTTTTTTTTTTTATGTCTTGGTTTTGACGAGGGAACCACCCCACGATCTTTGGACCATGGGTGTCAAACCGCGGCGTGACTATGGGGCACTCCCTAACGCACGGCCTCGGGTATGTTAGGTAATTAAATTTCTGTGGGTCCTCCGCAGAAGAGTTGACGCTAGCTATGATGATATGCAGTTTGGGATTCGAATGGTTTTGCTATGGCTCGGATATGATACTTCATCATGTCCATATGAGCTTACCAGTAATTATGTATACAGATGTACATGTGGATATGTGTTTGAATATAGATGCAGATATGAAACTGACATGAGAAAATGAGATAATATTTTTAAAAAAATGTATAATTCATATGATATGAAAGAGTTCATTAATATGTTTGTTATATATGAAAAGCTAATGTTAGATCTTTTAATCATCACAATTAACCTTAAATCAACTATTCTAAGAATTAAAACTATTACAAATATATGACCAACATACATTCGGATGTTTCGCATGAGGATCTGGATATTTCGCTACATATTCGTATTTGTAATCATATCCTATCAGATATAGATATTTAGCAACCATATCTAGATCTGGATTTTTTTACCTGGATATCCGATGGTTATTCGATGATTTTAAATAGACTTTCTCGTTGTATAGGGATCACTCAGATAAATGTTGCTACTTGCGACAATGGGGTGTTCTATAGTTATAGCAAAATATCCCCATTTTTTTCTTTTCATTTTTATTTATAATTTGACCTAAGCAATCTTTTTTTTAAGAAAGAAGTGTTATAATAATGAAGAAATTTGATTTACCACCATTGCAATACATAGGTAATCAAGTCACAACCTCGCTGGACACGGAATGCTCTTTATAAAATATTTTTTAGTTCGGTTTTTTTTTAATTTGAAAAAAAAAACGTTTATTACGATTACTAGGGATCTCACTATTCTTCTTCAAGCTGATTCTTGAATTGATCTCTTTGTAATTTCATATACTAATATGCAAAACTCAAGTTGGGCTGAGGTTTCAAGGATTTGGATCTTTTCCACTATAAAAAAAAATGGAGTGAAGAGGCCACTACAACATCATAATCATTGATTTGTTTAGCGAATGATTGTGATTCATTCTATATCTAACACTCACCGTACCCTCATGAATTACACTATTTCCCTAATTTACATTTAAAAGGCAAATCATAACCACACACTAAGAAATTAATGGTTGTGATATTGCAATGGTCGTTCCACTATATTTTTTTATAGTAGAGAGAATCCAAATACAGGTTTCGGATTTGGATCCTCTCCACTATAAAAAAAAATGTTAGTGGAAAGGCCACTGCAACATCACCATCGTTGATATGTTTAGTGGGTGATTGTGAATCATTCCATATCTAACACTCATCATACCCCCATGAATTACACTACTTTTTCTTAATTTACAATTAAAAAGCAAATCATAACTACCCACTATACAAATTAATGGTTGTGACATTGCAGTTGTCTCACCACTACAGAATCCAAATCCAGGTTTCGGATTAAAGCCCGCCGCCAAAGTCCTAGATCTCAGCGTAATAATTAGTGTAGAGAAAAGCCTTTTTCGTCAAGTAGAGCACAGAACTCAAACATTGAGCGAAAACAAGTCATGCCTCCAAAAAGAAAGGAAAAAAAATAAAAGAAAAACCATCAATTGGAAAGAAAAAAAAACACGGAAACGTTACTGAGCAAGTTTGCTCTACAAGAATCAAGCAAAATAAGGAAACCAAAGAGTAGTTGGTGTGGAACCGCAGTTTAGAATTGTAGTTAACAGGACTAGCTAGCGCACATTCTCTCCTACTATTATGCCTATTTATTCCTTCACGCGTTCAATTCTTTCATGTACACACACGAGAAGGATAACAAGAAGAAAGAAAGAAAGATGTGTCATGTCCATCGTCATGAGCCACCTCACGTGCCCCTGGTCTGCCACCACCACCTCAGCCTCGGCCTCAGCCTCATTCGCCGCCACCAGGCCCTCCCCCGCCCCCTGGTTTTCTGTACGTGATCTACACATACATGATTTAAGACGATCAATAAAAGAGCACCGTACTCCGATGCTTGCCCAATAAGAAGTTTTACCCTCAAGTACATCATATTACTACTCGCCATGTAACTCTCATGATAAACACGAAATACTCTGAAAAGAAAAGCATTCTCGAAGCCGACATACAAACATGATCATTCTCTTTTCTCAAATTGGCTGTTGCGTAAGTTGGTGATTCTTACCGACTTCTCGTGAAAAGCACAAGTAACCCGAAAACATTGAAGAATAAGCTTCGTCATGCCGGGTTTAGGAGAATTGAATCAATGGAGACACCCTAATGCAAGTCAGCAAGAAAACGTCCGACCTGAGAATTATAACAAACTTATGTTAGAAACTGAAGGTGAAAAGGAGCTACAATGGCATCTCAACACAACAATTGACAAGAAATCTACACCAAAAATCTACTAAGAGTGCTTAAAATCTAAGGAAATCAACATGGGTGCATCCATCCAGTACCGTTTTAGCGATGGGCTTGATAAGAACATATACTTCACAGCCCTACTAAGCAAATATTAGACTAAATGACAGTGACATTATACAGTCACTTGAAAGAATTAACATTAAAAAAATTGGTTGTAATAAAAATCATATTCCTGCATTTCATATGGTATTCCCGCTTCAATTCTAGAATATGCAGAAAAGATCCAAAGTAACGTGATGAAACGAAGAATGGTAAGTACTGTATTTTTGGTATAAGGATCCTCTCCGAACCACCCCTATAGGAAAGGGGTGGTTTGCACCATAGAAGAGTTTAAATTTTAAAACTAACACCCCAATCACCCATGGAAGTATAGGTCACCCTATTCTATGGGGTATTTTGATAGAATGTGCGCTCGTATTTCTTTGCGCGCGCATTGTTGCATCCAGAAAGTGACATATAACAATCAGTCCAGCAATAATTCTGATTTAGATGATACTTCTAGCTAGACTACGTGTTTCCCATAGAAGTGTCAATTTTGTGACAAAATTTTCCTACACTGAGATTCTCAAAAGTATAGTTTTTTTTTTTTTCCGCATGCCAGACACTCCCATTTGTACATTTGAGGATAATTTTAGTCTTCGGGACAAATAATCAAATAATGGAAATATGATGATAGCAGTAACTCATTGCCATTAGATTTGTCTTATACCTCTATAAACTTAAACCTCTTCTTTGTTTCATATTTACTTTCCTAAAAAAATAGCCGTACAGCAAGAAATTTGCTTTATGTTTACTCAATAGTTACAGCAAAATTTAAAATTATAGACATCTATGTAATTAAAATGAGAGACACAGAATTTGTTAAGAAAATAGAGTATAAAAATTTCAAGCCTTGACTGCACAAGATAGAATCCTGATTGAACCACAGACCGATTGATTAAGTTCATTCCTCCTTATGCGTGTATAACTGCATACTTGCATGTACATCTGTAAACTATAGGTGCATCACAGTGTTGGGATTTTTGACATCTCCACATGTCTGAACACTTGAAAATAACCATATATCACCCATGTGTTTACGCAACAATGCTGTCCTCAATATGTAGTTTCAAATATCAATATGACTTAGAAATTATAATTAGAAGATTAAAAAAATGATCAGAGGCCTTATTTTCACAGGAATATTCATACAGAACACCATGTGCGTTGAAAAGGTTTCTCATGTAGAGTCAAATCAGATACTAGTTTCATTCAATTCATTTTCAACTATCTCCATAGTTTGTTAACCTCTTCTGACCCTTTGTCCAGCAATTTCTCCTTCAGTCTCTTATCTTTTGTCTCTTCTAGTGACATCCTTTAGTTGAATTTTTATTGCATACTTTGTGCTTATTAACTAAAATGATCCCAAACCGATGTGGAAATCTCCAAGGCCTTCATGGGGGATTGCTTGAGGTGATATCATCTATTTCTCCTCTCTTTTGCAGCATCTTATTCTCATCTCTGGTTGATGTTCTTCTTCTTTCCTTTATTTTGTCTTCTTGCCCTTCTCACCAAAAGATGGACGGTGATTCCAGTTTTCTTCCTGTGCCGTTGTGGGTTGCTTCTTCTTCCTCCTCCGAAAGCAAGTGAACACCGGACAAGTAATCACGTTATTGGAGAACACGTCAAATTTATCAAACACAAAAATATGCCATAACGACAGTATAGATAAGACCATTTGTTGATTTGGTTCAGGACAAATCAAAGACGATATCCAAATTTTTTCATAAAAGAAGCATCATAACTCACTGGAACTGAATGGACTTTTATAGTCTACATTTTGACACGCTTTTATATAGTTATGGCTGCTTAACTTGCTCGCTCCTTCTATAGTTATGAAAGGTCTGTGTACTACACCAAACTTCTGAAGCTAAGGTCAGACTCAATGTATATAGTTTTATACTCTTACGTGCCCCCACATGTTGAGCACCCTATTTATGGGCTGAAACCTAGACTTCTTAAGTGGTTTTAAATATGTTTCAAATTCGTGGACAATGGGATTTAAACCTGGATCAATATGATACCGTGACAAAGGTCTCTGCCGTTACATCAAAACTTTAAAGTTGTGGTGAGGATTAATGGATATAGTTTTACACTCTAACAATAGTTATTAGCCCACATTTCCTTAATGGCAAAAAAATTAATAATAGTCGTCGTCATCATCATCATGCTCCTCCTCTCCCAAGAAATTTGCTTTATGTTTTATAAACTTATAGCAATGAAAATCAAGATTCATAGACATCTAATTAACCAATGTGCTACGCGCACACACACATATACATAGTGTGTGTGATTGAACAGGCCGACTGGTTCATTACTCCTGTATGCATAACTGTATACTTTTTTGAGAAAATAATGTATAACCGTATACTTGCTACAACTATAAGCTATAGGTTGCCCTGAGTTGGGCTTTCTGGAATTCCCCCCATGTCTAATCACTTGGAAAATAACCAGATATCACCCATGCCACGTGTTTAGGCAACAACTATGTCCTTAACATGTAGCTTCAAATATCATAATGACATAAAGCAGGAGTGGAAATCAATGCTAGAAGATTAAATATGATCAGAGGGTTTATTTTCATAGGAAATTTTCATAGAGAACACACCATGACTGGTTTGGAAGTCATAAGGTTTCACTATTTAGAGCAATGCAATCAAATATTAGTTTCATCCAATCAGTTTCCAATTATCACAGAAAGCTTTCAATTATTTTCACGAGAAGCTTACTTCTGATCTATTGACTAGCAGTTTCTCTTATAATCACTCGCTTTTTCCACTGACATCCTTTGTTTTGGCTTTCTAGACATTATTATTGTTTCCATTGCACTTTTATGATTACCTAACATGATCATCTGAACTGATACAGTGATCTTCTAGGCCTTGATTCAGAATTGGTAGATGTAATGGATTCTAGTCTTCCTCTCTTTTTAACAATATAGACATAACATTACTTTACTTCAGCTCAGAACAACTTAATGATGGTACCAAGTCTTTCATACATCGAAAGTCAAGTGGAACCTAATGGTTTTTAAAGTCCACAATGCAACCCCCTTTAATATTAATGTTATGGTTTGTTGCTCTTCTAAATAATCTTATCATTACCGACAAAAAATAAGAAAATTAAATGCTAGTCTGCATATAGGAGATAATTAACATGAAAAATGTGATTGAGCTTTTATGAAACAGTAACATACAAATAGATCAATGACCTGCATACAACAAAAGAAGGCTAACCAAGGATACACCATTTTACTGTGTATGATAAGAAAACATATAC